ACACACACACACACACACACAAACAAACACAGAAGAAGCATGATGCAAGACCCTCAACAGTGCTTGAGGGTCTCAGTGTGATAAGGCACATGAGAATGAGAGTGAACACACACAGTCTTTCACATGAAAGGATAAGCAATTATGGAATGATCCATCCTATATACAGTGATAAACACCTACTCACTGCAGTTGAACCCAAAGAAAAAAGACAGAGAAATTAGAGTAAAAGAGAGACGAGGAGGAAATGCACTAAACAAACACACACAGGCCCACACACAGCGTTCAGAAGAGATCTGTTAGAGTACGTGTGTGTCAGTGAAGTTTGAGCACCTGGAGAGAGACTCTAGTTAGTCAGACAATAGAGAAGAACAAAACCACATCACAGCATACAGAAACATTCTTATTAGCAGAGCTGGCCGATATATCGAATATTTACACTATACATGCATTTGGCTGGCAGTATAAAATTGGCTTTGCACCTGTTTCTTGAGGTTTAAATGAGTGATATTTTAAAAGCATTACTGATTTAAACCTCTGTATTGAAAACATTGATGGAGTTGGTAGGTTTGATTCACTTCAGTGAATCAGTTCTTTCAAACTGTCCATTTCAATGAATCAATTCAAGGATCAATGATTCAGTGAATTGTTTGCTCAAAACATTCATGGATATATGCCTTAAAGACTTTAATTAAAATGTGTATGTAGGGAAATACCATTATGTATAGAAAACACTGTTACATTTAATGTACTTAACTACTTTACTATTTATAATAATTAAAATAAATAAGTAAAACTGATTAAATATTTTTCTCATTCATTTCCTGAAAAAAAAAACATTTCATTATTATTTGAAACTATTTTAAATACATCTTACTGTATTTAACTTCTTTCTTTAAAATACTTCTTTCTTTTGTTTGATTTAGAATGATGATTCTTCTAAATAAAAAAAAAATAAAAAAAATAAAAATTCTAAAATATTGAGATATTGCCTTATATTTAAAGGGCTATATCGTCCAGCCCTAAACATTAGATCTAGAATAACAATGCAAGATAAATGCATACACACACAGTGATAAGCCTATAGAGTTCACTTAACCATGAAGTCACATCAATAAAAAATACTTGAATGGAAAAGCAATAAAAGTATGACACTACCAGTGAGCAATTTATGGACTAACAAAATGAGAACATCTCCCTGTCTCAGCATAAAGCATCAGATACTCATACATACAGATGCATCTAAAAAAATTAGAATATCGTAAAAAAGTACATTTTGTTTGAAACTTTCATATATTCTAGACATGTAAAGTAAAACATTTCAAACGTTTTTTTGTTTTAATTTTCGATGATTAGAGCTTACAGCTCATGAAAGTCACAAATCCAGTATCTCAAAATATTAGAATATTTCCTAAGATCAATCAAAAAAAGGATTTGCAAAACAGAAAAGTTCAAGTTATGTAAAGTTATGTTTAAAAGTATGTTAATTTATGCACTCAATACTTGGTTGGGGTCTCCTTTAGCACAAATTCCAGCATCAGTGAGGAGTGGCATGGAAGCGATCAGCCTGTGGCACTGCTGAGGCACTATTGAGCCTTCAGCTCGTCTGTACTGTTGGATCGACTGTTTCTCATCTTTCTCTTAAAAATATCCCATAGATTCCATATGGGGTTCAGGTCAGGCATGTTAGCTGGCCAATCAAGCACAGTAATATCGTGGTCAGCAAACCACTTGGAAGTGGTTTTGG